GCCGGCCAAATCCGATGACCCCCCAGCAAGACGCTTGGTGTTGCACGGCTGACCTGACGGATCGCTGCGCTTGCCAGAAGTGGAAGAACTAACCGGATCACCACACTTGCCAGAGCAGGATGAACTAACCGGATCACCATGCTTGCCTGGGCAGCAAACCTGATTGCCACGGCTGCTAGAGCTGTCGGAACTGAGTGTGGCACCACGCAAGTCAGGGGCGGAAGAACTAATCGGCTCACCATGCATGCCAGGGGCGGAAGAACTAACCGGATCACCATGCTTGCCAGGGGCGGAAGAACTAATCGGATCACCCAGCTTGCGATCACGGCCCCCGGCATCCCCTAACGGGTCAGAGCTCTCAGCAAAAGAACCCCCGAAAGAGGAGAGCTTCAGCAACTTATAATCGCGATGAGGCGGCACTTGCTCTACTTGGGCCTGGTACTCGAACTCCGGGATAAGAGCGCGAGCGTGACGAGACTGGTGTCCTGCAGGGGCACGGACCTGCGCCCTAAGTTCCTGCGCTCGCCATTGTCCAACCTTGACACTGGGGCGCGCTGCGGCTGCGGCGATCAAGAACTCACACAAGGGCGCAGGATACTCAGCCTCATCCTCCCTGAGCAGTCGAAGTCGAGTGCTCATGCGCACGTGCACAAAAGGACACTGGCCCCTGGCTCACACTGAGGCGGGCAGTTTGAGCGGCCTTGACGATGATGTCTCCCCCTGTGAATGAGCTCAGAGGCACCACTACGTTGGGCAGATAAGCATTCTGCGAGTCCACATGCTCCTTGGTACACACACGGTCCAAGATCACGAAGCTTGTACAACGATGTGACGGAACGATGCTGGCAGCGAAACTGTTGATCACCTTGAGTGACTTGGGAAAAAGGTGGCAGGCTTTCCTCAAGCCCACCTTAATTCGACAGTAGGCGCCCCCGGAAAATGAAACCCCGTTGGCGTCCCTGTCACTAATGTCCTTTGGCAAAAGATCAAAAAGCTGAAGGACCTTGGCTGCAGAAAAGTCAAGACTGTCCAAACAATCCTGAGCAAAGTCTTCAGGGGAAGCTGCGAGAGGGGCCAGCGACCCTCCCGCCTCGTCCTTTCAATGTGAGCACTCAATGTATGGCCGCGACTCCTTGCAGCCCTTGTAGTAGCAGACATGCTTCCCGAAACGGCAACTCTTGCGCTTCTGGAACCTGCAGATACCCTTATTGTAGAAGGGGCAAATGAAGCGACCCTCGGCATTCTTGGCCTCACAGTTTGCCGGGAGGTTTGCCAGCAACTCCTTCAAGGAGACATTGGCCTGCGAGGAACCTTCGCCTTGCTTCCCCTTTCCATTCTTGCCCTTGCCGGTTTTCTTCGGCGGCTGATTCCCCTTGCCTTGCCACTTCCCTGGCCCATCCGTAGAGGCAGAACTTGGCGCAGGCTGGTTGGCCGGCACGGGCAGTGGTGTCATGCATGCAATGACAAGTGGGTCGAGGCACAACTTCTTGAGCAGAGAATCCAGGGGGGGGTCGAGGCCGACCCGCACCGCAATGTTACCTCGAGACTCCTGAGACATGATCTGCCACAACTTGGCATCAGCTGACAAAATCTGCTGGATGGTCACATAGCGGTAGCCGGCAGGCGGGGACTCGAGGAGGGCCTGAAACATCTTGTTGCTCCACTCTTCAAGCTGAACAAACGAAGCAAGGCCCACCTGATCGAAAGCAAGAGCCCTTCTGAGGAAGCACTGGCGCAGGCGCGGCTCCCCCGACGTGTCACACCTGAGATCGGATGCCTGGTGCGTCATCTTGATGTTGCCATCACTGCCCAAGGAGAGTCGGCTCTCGCTTTTAACGCCCATGATCTCGTCCTGCCTGCTGACACACTTCTCGGGAGGAATATGGGAGATGAGGCCCTGATCCAACATGGATTGCACCTTATCTACCAAGGTGTGGCCGGGCTCAGTCCGAACATCCAGAACCAAACCCTTAAGCTCATCCCTCTGGCGCTTCAGCCTCGTGAAACGCTCGGCCATTGGCATCTCCCTCGGCTGGCTGTCGGGGGTTTTCTGCACCTGCTGCTGCAGATCAAGCATCGCGTGAGTGTGCGATTCATACCAGAGCCTACGCACGGTTGGGATGTCTTTGGGCGGCACATCCTTTCCAGTCAGCCCTTTAACCGCCTCAAGGAGAGCGGTATCATCTCCTGAATTCGGTTGAATGGCACAAATGAAGGCCAATTTTCCGAATGTATCAATCCCGGCGTCGGTAAATTCGGTGATGAGGTCATCACCCAGACCGTACTTGCGCGCACGGTCCTTGAAGTGCCCCGACGATTCCAAGCCGGCCATCCCGCAGTAAGCTAGCCCTGGCCTTGATCAGCAAACTGGCTAACGAGGTCAAATCATCAATGGCAACTCAAGACAGGCGACCTAACCCTCATGCACAAAAGTGCATCCCACAAGCGCCCACAGCTTGACCTGTTAACCATGCAGCAAGCGCAGCTGCTAAACTTCGATGATCTTAGCACCCGCCTGAAGAGCACACAAGATTCAGACGTGGGGAAGATCACAGAGCAATGTCAGATTCACCACGGAGCAGTGTGCAGACGTCACAAGAATCCGGCGGCGAGTCCAACCGCGGATCTCAATCGGGCGATCACAGCCCGACGCATTGGGTGCAGTCGTCCTCCCTGTAGCCCCAAAACAACCAAGGGCGGGAACCTGAGATTCCCACAATCTCATAAGAAGTAGACACTCAGGTTTCTCAAGCCTCTCCAAAAGGAAAGTCAGATCGGCATATCCAGCCGTCTCCACCCAATCGGAAAAAGCAGCCCCAATTCCAGACGCCTAAGTCAATGCTGTATCTCCCGAACACAGAGAGCGAGGCCGCCTTCCTTTTTTATAACACCAGCTTCCTATCAGATTCAGGCACCGCTATCCGCAGCAGCGCACTGTTGGCAAACATGAATCTGAGCTTCACCCTGAGACAGGGAACGCACGTTGGAGGTAACACGCCTCCCACACTTGAATCTCCCTGGCGAAGCCTCACAGTGCATCACCCCTGTGAGGATGTGCATGAAAACATTACCGGCAAAAGTGGCCTCGATACGGGGCCGCACCGCGTCGGGAGCAGGGGGCAAATTCAGCGCCTGCAGCCCTTTAAGTAGCTCAGAGTCCGAGATGTCTGAGCCCTCACCCTCTGACTCACGAGCCTCCTCATCTCCCTCGACGAGGTCCGGCTGCGTCTCCGGTAGGTGGGCGAAGTCTTCAGGAGCTCTCTGCATGGCAAGCGCAACCCTCTGTGCCCTCGGCAAATCAGGTGAAAATCCGCCGCTAACGATAGCTCGAATGATCCGGCCCACCTTCGCCGTGATCTCAGCCATGGCATCTCTGCTGTACAGCAGAGCCATACCAAGCTTGGGGTGAACATGATGACCCTGTGTCAACCTTTCTTCGTAGGTCATGGTCCCCGACTTAGCGCTCCAACTCAGCGCCGTAGCCTTTAGGCTGTGGGAGGTGAAGGCCTCGAGGTCACCTGATACAGAAGCCAAATGCAACAACTCCCTCAACCACATAGATCCTTCTCCAGCAGTCATGGGTCGCTGGAGCCACGAGGCTGAAGGTGCAAGTGCTGGCATCAGGCAGGAATGATTCGAGATCCCCGTGGCCTCGCGATGCTTAATCCAAAATGCACCCCAACCAGGCTGCACAAGGGTGCGCCCCAGAGCTAGCAGCGGCAACATTCGATTCTGCCGGTCCTTGGCCCGGGTCTTGTAGTGCATGGTCCCTGTCTCGAGTATCACCACAGCGCCACCCGACTCATCCATCGAAATCCCACTCGCTCTGGCAGCGTCTGAGAACCGCGAGGAAGAGTAAATGCAAAACAGCAAAAACCCTGCAATGGTGGCCCGGGCATGGTCGTCCGTGTCGACCACAAACTCCTCCAAGGCACGAACATGCGTCACAGGAAGGGGCGGCGCCTGCCACAATGGCCGCTTCTTGAGCTCCATTGAAGAAGCCACCCCAGAGACTCTTGCAGAAATCGGAGACTTCAAATAAGCACCTGTGTGATGCATGAAAAACTTCATCGCCTTAATGAAGGAGTCTGCAGAAGTCGCGCTGGCACCAGAATGCCTAAGGAAAGACACATACTCATAAACCTG